CCCGCTCTGTCTCTGGTGAATCCTCTCACCCTCCACATCTCTGGCCTGTACCCCAAATCTGTATGAATAAATAAATCTTTAAAAAATAGTAAATAAATAAATAAATGGGCTAAGAGACAGTAAAAAATGAGAACAGATAAAGCTTACCTGAACTAGAAAAGCATAAAACAACAACAGAGAACCAAGAAGCAACAGAGTGGATCCACAAAAAGCCATTTTTTTGGTGGAAAAACTAATGAAGAAGGCAAACTTTTGAAGATTCCTCAAATTAGGTATACAGAGTAATAACAAGAATGAAAGGGGAGACATAAACACACAAAGATTTGTTAAAACTAGTTGCGATAGATAATTTTCATTAGAAAACCAACATTAAATGTATTTAAGAAGTAAAGCAAATCCACAACCACTACAAAAAAATGAACCATTGCTATAGTCATTTATTTTCCATCTCAATCAACAGGCCCAAATAGTTTTCTAGGTGAATTAATAAATTACAGATAATCTTGCCTTTATCAAGATTGTTTCAGAGCTCATTTTATGAGGATAGTATCACCCAGATGTCAAAACTAGTTTAAATTCGTACAATAAAAAAATTCAGTGTGTTCTCACCTATGAACACAACAAAGATTCTAAAATAGTATTAAATAAATTCTAAATTTCAAAATAAAAATATATCACAAACTAGTAGGGCTTATTCCCCAAATAGAGCAATGGTCCAAGGTTAGAAAACCTATTGACATCACATACCCTAACAGCTTACCTATAAATATAAGACACCACAGCAGATTAAAGGAGAAAACTGATTATCTCAATGATTATATTTTTAAAATGAAAATATTAATGGTTATATATAGGAGCAGGACCTAGCAAACTAGAAATAGAAAATCATTTCCTTCACCTGCTAGGGACTACTTATCAAAAACCAACAGTAAACATCACATTTATTGTTGATTCTCAAGTAGCACCCCACTAAAATTAGAAACAGCACAAGGAAATCTACCATCCCCACTTCTGGGAAGTCCTAGCTCAGAGTAATAGGAAAAATAAATGTTCGATGGTACAAAAGGATCAATATAGTAACAATGACTAGCCTCTTCAATGCAATTCCAGTTAAATCTCCATTGGGAATAGGATTTTAAAATAAACCTTGATAAGCTGACCCTAAAACTCCATGGAAGAACAAAAGGCTAAGGGTAGGTAAGACACTGGTGAAGAAAATAAGTAAGATAAGAGGACCTCAACTACCAGATGTCAAAACATATCATAAAATCTTAAGACATAAGAAGAAAATTGAGAACCCATACCTATGTGAAAAGTTGACATATAACAAAGGAATTAAAAATCAGTACAGAAAGAATACACTAGTCTACAAATTTACCTAACCAAAGGGAAAAGTAAAATTAAAAATCCGCCCTATATTTTCTCATCATACACATACTCAAGTTCCAAATAAACTACTAATCTAAAACAAAATTTAAAAAAAAGAAAGTTAACATGGAAGAATACCTTTATTGTTTTTCAGTAAAAGGATATATAAAACCCCAAGATGCCCATTGAAGGAAACCTCATACCGATTAGGCAGTTACCCCTCATTCCCCTTACCAGGCCTTGCAAACACCATTCTCTATGGATTTGCTTAGGGCTTATCTTTCTTTCTGAGTTTTCCAGTTATTTCAAATAGACGGAATCCTATTATTTTTATCTTTATGTGTCTAGCATCCCATTTTCATTTTTGTAGCATGTGTTAGTACTTACCTCCTTTCTCAGGCTGAATGATATTCCATTATGTTGATATACCACATTTTGTTTACCTATTCACTAATTAATCTACATTGACATTGCTTCCACCTTTTGGTTTAGTGTGAATATTGCTGATAGCAGCATTTGTGTGCAAGTTTGAATACCTATTTTAAAATACTTCAAGAGTAAAATTGCCAGATTATATGGTAATTCTATTATATAAATTGCTGGATTACATGGTAACCTGCCTAACTGTTTTCCATAATGACTGAACCATTTTATCTTTCCACCAGAAATGAATGTAAAAGGGAGCCAGTTGTGCATTCTCTCCTAACACTGGCTCCGTGTTATGTTTTTGATTATAGCCATAGCCGTGGAAAAGGTCAGACTACTTATCAGCAAAATGGGTAATCTTACAGGCATAATATTAGCAAAAGAAACCAGATGCAAAAGAGTTCGTGTAGAATGATTCCATTCATATAAAATCCCAAAGGAGCCACCATGTATCAAAAGTGGTAAGTGCTAGAGTAGTTATTACTTGGGGTAGGTATTACTATAGAGGAAATGAGAGAAGGGGTAGGAACAACTGTATGATCTGATTAGTGACAGTGGTTTGTGCATGAGAGTTTGGGTAAGTCTGTAACATATAGAGAGAAATGCATCTAAAGAGACAGGTATGAATATTCATTGAGATATTCTTTATTGCAGAGAAATAATCTCAGTATAAAACAACTCATGAAAAGGATGTATAATGTTTTAAAAATATATGACTGAGGCCCTCCCTTGTGGCGCAGCAGGATGGAGCACAACACAGCAAAGCTGACTGTGGCCACTTCAGCGTAAATTTGATCCCCCGCCTTGGAGGTGACACACATGGCATGGCAGGCCTCTCCTGACCAGCCCGCTTCTACCCTCAGCAGTGTATTTCAGTAGATCCAACTGTTCTGCTCCCCACTCTGTCTCTGGTGAATTCTTTCACAGCCCCTGCACCTCCGACCTGTATCCCAGTTCTGTATGCATAAATAAATAAAATCTTTTTTTAAAAATAGATGATTGGTGGGTCTGGGAAATTTTTGTCATGTCATTCTTTTATTTTTCTGTATGGTGAGCTAGTTCATGATTTTTTTTCTAAAAAGAAACACGGGAAAAAAATAGCCAGATCTATTGAATCCAATAATTTAACTCCTGGGAATCTACACTACAGAAATATTTGAAATGATAGAAAATATTTGTATGTAGATGTGTCTTATCATTTATGTAGATAGTAGAAGTACTGGAGAAAATCTAACATCCTACAAACAGAAGTGATCTTTATGTAATTGAATGCCTTCAATGTGATGTTGTTCTTATTTAAAATGATGTCCACAAATGTCATGAGAAAAACATTCCAACATGATGTTAGTCAAAAGAGAAGAGGAAAAGTAAGATACGAATTGTAATACCAAGAATAAGCTATTGTTCTTGATATTTGGTTACCATCAAGCATACACTGTGACCACCACATGGCGAGGCAGACCTCTTCTGACCAGCCTGCTGCTCCCAGCAGTCGATCTCCCTGTTCTGCTCCCCACTCTGTCTCTGGTGAATCCTTTCACCCTCCGCATCT